GCCTAATCAGGGAGCGTGTTTTTAAAATAAAGATTGAAAGAGTTGTCAGAAGCTTAGTGGAGGTGACGTTGATGTCATGCGACCGTGGTGTAGTGTTTTTATAGCTGAACTTTAGCTTTTTACTTCTTGTGATTGTATTTAGGCTTCAAAATTCATGAAACATTGTGTTCATTTGTGAAGAATGTCTTGATGAACAGACCATGTAAGAATCATAAACTTTTGTTGGTCACAGAGATTATTTTCCACAATAATCCAAAAGCCAGTGGAAAAATCCTAGTGGCTTTTTGTGGAGGGAACCAGGGTGATGCTAACTTCTGGGTTGGCCTACAGAAATACGTCATCCCTGCGGCACTCTATCTGAGCTTTCTCTGTCTCTTTGTTATGGAGCACTCAATAATCGAAAGTTTTGCCTCAGGACATGGCCAAGTGTTTGGGACATCACAGCCCAAATACTCTTACCATCAAAATATCTTGTGCCAACAAGACAACAATAAAATACAGCTGACTGGTAGAAACAACAGTTATATCATAGTTTATTTAGTTTATTTTGTAAAATGAAACATTTTTAAACCATGATCTATGCCCTTTTATTTAATTGAGTAGTCACTGGTGTGTAGTGCTTAAATTTGGGGACAGTAAGACTTGAATTAGTAAAAAAATCACCCAGGAAATTACTCTATTTTGCCCTCTGAACAAATGGCTTACGGGTTCCTTCAGAGGAACAACCTAAAAACCATTTACTTACTATAAATGATACAGAATACACTTGTCACTGTCAAAACCACCCCTTGTGTGTCTAAATTTCATCATATTTAGCCTTGAATTGTCTGCAAATTCCAACTGATTTGACCTAATTAATGAAAAATTGCTGTATGAATGAATAAGCTTATCATGAGGAACAGAGTTAGTGCTTTTAATATCACTAGATCTGTACAAAATTGGATGGTTGTCAGAATTCCAATGAATTTTACATGCAATCAGGTTGGATTTTCCCTGAAACACTCTTCAACACAACTGAAACAGATCCTCAAGAGATTGATGATCAGTGACTTGATATCATCATGCTAAGTCATAGAGCACTAGAGTCTTTCAGGGCCAGCTAAATGGAAAATCCAGCTAAGGCAGAATATTCCTGTGTTGTGTTTACGTCTTTGATTGTCAGTTACGTATATAACCTGAAGCCTCAAGACACGTCACCTCTGCGTCTAGCGATCCCATGTGTGGTTCCATGTCCAGTCTGTGTTTCACTTGCAATGTGATTTTCTGCTGCACTGTGTTTATCTGGTGACGCAATGATGCAAACAGGGGGTCAGGGTGATGCTAGTGGGCATCTAGCAAATCCAGAATGACAGAAACAATCTCTCTGATACTGTCACTCTTCCTGCCCCAGAGGCCCCCAACAGCATTCTCTACGCACCAGTATTTACCACTGTAATGGCCGCAGGGAAGGAGGTCGGGGCTGCTCTGTGTTATAATGGTAATTTATTCTGAAGTCTGCCTGAGTTCATAATTTATGTCGTATGAATTTAATAAGGAGGTGCATGGAAAGAAAGATGAATCATTTTTGCACATACTGATAGTTCTCTGAGGTCCTCTCTTAGAATTGTGCAGATTTTCTTTAAAAGCACATGGGATTTTCTTGGCAGTTAAAAAAAAGAGAAAAACATGAAAACTGTTTTGTTGAAAGGAAAAAAATAAAAGAAATTAATTAAAAAAAGAAACAAACAAACAACAGATGCAACCAAAGGAAGTCTATCTTAGCCTCTGGGTATGTAAATGAGATTTATGATACACACTGGTTGTGTATCTCAAATAATAAGATTCATCATGAATTCTTCTGAGAGTCCACTTGTATTTCTCTCTCACTCATTCTCACTCTGTTATTAGATGACATCTAAAATGAAGCATCACTTACAAAGAAATTCATTTCCTGCATACCTGAGGACATAACAATAAAGGCACTGAATTACAGCTATGGTGTGATGACCCATATGCTCACGCTGCAGGAGAACCAAAGTGCGGTTATTATATGTTTTCATTCGTCATGTAATAAACCATCGGCTTCCATGGCTGCATAAAGCCGAGGTGAGATCTTTTGTAGTATTCTGACTCAAACACACACATGGATAATTGCACCGTCTCTTTTCCCAAGCCTCAAAATGTTGATATAGCTGAAGATACATTATAAAGATGTCAAAGATGATAGACTGTCTATACAGACCTGCAATCATCTGTACAATAGTCAAACCTATCATCACTCAACATACACCGTCTGAGTTAGAGAGAAAGGAAGATGTGTTTCGTAAAGGACACACACACACACACACGCACATGCATGTATTTGTTGAGAAAGAATTTGTAATTTAAGAAAAGAAAAGTACAGACTTTGTTTTATTCTACTGCAGACAGACCTCTGGAATTTTAGATTTGTGTGTTGTCCATAATTGTCTCCGAGCTGTAGATGTATTTTTTATATTGAAGTTAGAGTGTGTTTTGGGTGATATACAAAAAAAAAAAAACAATTTTAATAATAAGTCATGCAAAAATAATGGAGAAAATGATTTTAAAAGAGTTTACAGGGTTAGGGTTAGGGTTATCTGCAGCGTCATGAGGTACCAAGGCAAAAAACTAGCCCTGGCCGCAAAAGAGCGTCTACCAAATGTCATGAAAACAGATGTAAATCTTAAAGCTTTCTCTATTTGTATTTGCTTTAAAGTTGGGAAAAAATACTCAGTCTGATAAGAGAGCTTTTCTTGGTCCAACAGGAAACTCTAAGTGGGTTTTAAGATCGCTTTTTCTAGGTAAGTGGCTAATTTCTTTCCGTTGGTTTGCTACTCTGGTGAACTTACACTTTTATCTCTCTATGCATTATGTGTGTGTGTATGTGTGTGTGAGGAAGTGAGTGAGTGAGTCAGGAGTTCAGACATTCAGGAGATCACGACAGCTATTATTCTCTTTTTTATTCCACCATTATGGCTTTCTAGGGTGCTGTCTCAGTTCTGCTAATTTTTTTTATCATTTTCTCTGCAGAAACTTTTCTTCTCACTGAAATCCAAATCAAGGCAAAACCTGTTTAAACAGACTTGGACACTTTGCACCACTGAACTCGAATGCTGTTTATCCTTCAGTTCATTCTCAGTTCATAACTCCTGATAAATTGTTACTCATTCTCACTGTGTTGTATATTGAACAATGGGACAAGGCATAGAGTCCATAGTGGGGATAAAAATAAAGGCAGGATATCCATAAGTCAAAACAGGCGACAACCAGAACAAACTGGGAAACAAGAAAACAAGGCTCAGGCTTAAAGTTAGTATTAAAGATTTTGTGGCAATACATTGAAAAACAGGGTGTACATAGGCACACTAATCAAAGACTAACACAAAACAGGTGAACACAGTCAGGTAACAAATCAATGACAGGACAAGGGTGGACAAAGACTAGAAAAAAAAAACGAAACAAAACATGAGCACATGATGTTTGTCACAATGGAATAGCAATGCAAAGAGGGGGAACAGTTATAACAGCTGGCCTGATGCTTGTGGCCCCTGCTGTCTCATTAGTGCTCTAGAAAACAGAGCGTTGATATCTCTGGCTCAAAGGCAGAAAAATGTCACAATGTTGCCAAAATACTGATAAACACTACCAGTCACTAAACTCCATTAGCTGGGATAGAATTAGAACCAGTGAGGACAATAGAGAGAATATGCTGAGGCTACAGCAGCCCTTTCTCAACAGAAAAAAAACCCCAGACACATAGACAACCGTCTATTTCCATTCACAGCCCCCTGGTCAGCACCCACTAGACTGCTGAATCAGGCCTGTCCCACTGGACAGGGTGAACCCGGGGCAGACTCTGGACCCGCTGCAGATATTATATCTCACAGTTGGCTTGGGAACATCTGGAGATCCCTCAGGAGGAGCTGAAATCTCAGGCTGGGGAAGTCTGGACTGACCTTCTCAGCCTGCTCCCATCTGGATAAGTGGAAGGAAAATGAATAAATGTATGAATGAAGGTTTCTGTTTCTTCTGTTTCTATCTTTTGACCTCTTCTAATTTTGTAGACGTAGTGGCCCAAAGCAGTGCTCAGACTGAACCTGAACAAATTTACCTGGAGAAATTCCTGGTCACTTTCAGTAGCGGTTATTTCCAGTTCACGTGAAAAGCATGAACCATGGATTGCATGAGACAGCAAAAGCAAATGGTGTATGATGTCTATAGACTCATAATTGCTTTGACTGCTGCCCAAATCCTTACTTCCATCATCCATTTAGACACCACTTGTCATATGCCAGTTTTTACACTAATTCTCTTTTTTGTGCAAATGGTCTTTCGGTGAAAGGAAACAACATACACACCATACACACACAAATCATTCAAGCACTTGCTTTTCTCCATTTTTTTCTGCCATTATCCACTCTCCTCTAAGTGATCACTCAATAGCGCATTTTCATCTGTAATGGCAGGATATGGATCTATACTTAGCCATACAGCACTACTGCCTCAGCAAGAAAAATACAGAAATTTTCCCCATTGGGTTACAAAAACGATCTTCTCCGTGTCACACATGCATAACTACACAATAATTATCTCTATTATGTTTCCCGACCTTTCGTACACATTTACATTTGTTTCTGAACAACATACAGAAATCCAGCATGTGAGTGCTTACTGTGACACATTGCACTTCAGGAAGACTGAATGAAATACTGCCATTTTTGTGAATGAAATGAAAATCAGTCCTGCTGTGCAGCTTTGTGGCTCAATCTTTTTTTTGGTTACAAGCACTGAATGGATGCAGAGTGGTGAATGAAAAAGTGCTGTGCTGGAAGAGCTGGTGTTCATGATGAAGTGTAGGGCAGGAATTTACTTTGAGAGGACTGTAAGAGACGCTTGGAGAGTTAGGGAAATCCACCAAAACTGATATGGACTGGTATGTGACTTTTATTCAAGTAAACTGGCACCAGACACAAATTGGTGAAGTACTCTATAACACCCAGTCCCTGAAGGACTAGTGGTTAGGTCATGGCACTCTCACCTCTGTGGCCCGGGTTTGATTCCTGGCCAGGAAACCAACCCCAACCACTGGGGTTGTGTGATCTGCCAAGGTGACCCCTAGTAGGAGCAGCCAAAAGAGGAACAACAACATTCTATAACACCCAGCCTGAACATTTCCCCTCTGAGCCACCAGAGGATGCCATCACTGGAGTTCTAATCATTTCTTTGCTTACTTCACCCATTTCCTGTTGGCACCATATAAAAAGCACATGGACTAGAGCTTCTGTCTGAAGCCTTACAGTTTGTCTCACAATCATGTAAGGTCTCAGCTGTATTATTCTGGAAAGCCTTAATAGTGTATGACCCTGCCTTTCCTCCTGTGATTTATGCCCTTGCCAAGCCCTTATTGGTTTTGATACTGGACAGGGTGAACCCGGGACAGACTCTGGACCTGCTGCAGATATTATATCTCACAGATGGCTTGGGAACATCTAGTGTTCCCTCAGGAGGAGTTGAAATCTCAAGCTGGGGAAGTCTGGACTGACCTTCTCAGCCTGCTCCCACCTGGATAAGTGGAAGCAAAATGAATAAATGTATGAATGAAGGTTTCCGTTTCCTCTGTTTCTATCTTTTGACCTCTTCTAATTTTGTAGACGTAGTGGCCCAAAGCAGTGCTCAGACTGAACCTGAACAAATTTACCTGGAGAAATTCCTGGTCACTTTCAGTAGAGGTTACTTCCTGATTTATGCCCTTGTCTAGCCTTTATTGGTTTTGATACTGTCTTTGATACCTGGTTTTGGAACCGTGCTTACCCTTATGACTCCTCTTTGGATTGTTTTTGGATTTGTTTGCCCTTTTTGTGTTTCCTCTGCTGGTTTTGACCTTGGACTGTGTTTTGATTGTTGTTTTTGTGAATAAACTCTTAGCACATGGATCCTTGCCATGGACCAAACCCAACTCCTGATTTACATGTAGTGCATATGTTTTTATTTTGATATTTATATTTTGTTGTCATTCATTCCCTCATGTGACTTTTATGTAATTTATTTTCACATGTGACTATTACAAATGATTCATTTATTTTCACGTGATTTTAATAATAGCTAAGGAACGATTTATTTTAGCTTTTATTTATTATATCAGATTTTTACTGGGTCAAATATTTATGTACACTTTGTTAATCGGTGGCATTGCCTTTTAATGTGCTTATCTCACAGTACTTTGCCTGATTTTTTGCTCATTCCTCCTAACTGGGGTTTGAAGTCTGAAGTGCACCTTGTGATTACCTGCGAATTACAGTCTGGCTTGTTGATGCCAGTCTTGGAGTAGGGGCTTCTTCCTTGCATGACAGCCTTTAGGCCTTGGTGATGTAGGATCCTCTTAATGGTGGATGTACATACTTTGGAACCTTATGCCTCCAATCCCTTAACCAGTTCCTTTATTGTTTTCTAGGGGTTTAGTTGAACCTTTCAGACCAAAGTTCTTACATCCCAGGGAGTTATTTTGTGCCTCTCTCCTGAACAATGCAATATCTGTGTAGTCCCAAGATTTTTATATTTGCATACAATTGTTTGTACAGATGCTCGTGGTAACTTCATTTGTTTGAAAATTGCTCCTGAAACCAGAATTTTATTTCTGAGGTCTTGGCTGAGTTTTCATGGTATGAAGTACAAAAAGGCACTGGCTTTAAAGGTAGACCCTGAAATACAGCCACACGAACACTACAAATTAATAGTTATTTATGACAATCAGCCAATCAGAACCCTCAAACTGGCTTTTTTTTTGGACGTTAGAGGTAAGCATTAGCATTCAACTGTCACTGGAACAATGGAAATGTGCTAGCTAGGTAAATCATTACCCTTAATTGTTCACTAATTTATGCTTGGCATCCATATTTCCCAGGTGCCTAGCAACAGTGTTGTCATTATTTTAACACCTGGAATAGTGAGTGCATAATGTGTTTGTCTTGTCATATCTGGGTGCAATTAAACAGAGGTGCCGAATCTTGGCAAATGTGAATACGTGAAGCAAAAACCACAACAACAGTTTCCATAGCAGCTGATGAGGAGAAGGTACGTTCTGAAACAAATGCAAACTGGCGAATCAGATAATTGCAGAGGAATGACCAGGTGGGATATACTGTGTAAATCAAACTTCTTACCAGTTTTCATGTTTCATGGAGCATCAATCAGATTTAAACCACTCATATCTACAACGAATTTATAAATACTGTGTTCAGATCCTGGTCTGACTGCTGAAATTACACAGCCACTTCTATATATATATATAGTATACATATGTTTATTACATTTACTTTTGTGATGAGGTCACAGGTAAGGTTTGCTTCTGATGACTCTTCCATGCAGATCATGTTTGTGCAAACAAAGCTGCATGGTAGAACAGTGAACCACCACACTCCTGCCAGCTAAACCTTCCTGCCATTTGGGGGTTTTGCTTTGCCTTTCTGCCCAATATAAGTGCAGTTCCACCTGAGAATGTTCTTGGTCTACCAGATTTTGCTTTGACTTCCACAGTTTCCTTTAACTGCCATTCTTAATGACATTTTGGGCAGTGGAAATTGTGAGCTGGAAGTGCTTTGATATCTTTTTATACCAAAGTGTATATCAAGGTGTATAGACTTTTTATAAACACTGTATGTAATTTGCCCAAACTTTTGCATGCAACTGTATATATCATGAAAATGGAAGGGAGTGGAGATAGATCCTTGAGGGACACATTGTGTATGGGGCAGTAGATGATTTATGTTATAATAGGCTGAATAAATTCATAGAATGTATGTTTTATTACTCGGTGCTTGTAAAGGAATTCCTAAAATGATCTGCTTGGTGAGTAATGAGAAACAGATGGATGCTCAGTTTAAGACTAATTCCAAATGAACACCTTTCAGATGGAGCTTGTGCATTTGAGTGTATTTAGTTGTATTCAGCATTCTGTCCTTCAAAAAAAAAAACAAGGCTAGATATAAAATGCACCATATTTTTAATTATATTCTTCATCTGTTTTTTAATACTGTGCCTCTGGTGACTTATATAAATATTATATATAATCTTCTATAATATAAACCATGGCTGATGTGTTTGCACATGACTTGGTGTGCAATTTCTATTTTTTTATTTTCCATTCCAACAATTTGGTGCATCAAGACTACCAATAATTTGGCACATTCAACGTTTATAATCTGAAGACAGCAAAATTTACTGTTCCAAACACAGCATGGTTTTATAACACATCCCATATAGAATACCAACAATCTTGTATCTTTTTTATCATTGCTTTTAGTTTCAAAAACTTCAACTTGAGACAAATAGACCTTCGAAAGCATACAGTAAGTACTTTGTAGTACAATTAAAAACTTATACAGGGCTCAAAGTAAAACCCTTATAACAAGTGAAGAACCCTTCCTTATCCAATGATAAACACTTTCTCTAAGAGTGTATTTATTATTCCTCTCAATACAGTAGTAGTAAGCATACAACAGCGGCTGGTATTCTGCTTTCATGGTTTCCTGTCCTGCACTGAGATGAAGGAAGAGAAAGCAATCTTAAATAGTTGTTTTTTTGGAACCATAATTTGAAGGATTTTGAGGAAATGAGTTATCAGAGTCTCTTATTAGCTGCAATCCCCAGTGCTACTTTCATTTTTTTTCAGCTTATCCCAAAAATAACCCTTCAAGAGCTCTTAGGCAGTAAGGCCATATAACAAAATACACAGCCTTGAGCCATGACAAAGGCTGAATAATGTACTATCTGATTGGATGTGCAGTACATGAGGTTAGTTCTAACCTTAAAACATGATAAGGTAATCACATGCACCTCAGTTGCATTGTGTGTGTGTGTGAATGTGGATGCATAAAAACCTGACTATTTTCCAAGGTCCGATTCTTCCAAAGTAGCCTTTTTTGAGGCTCACTTTCAACAGTACATTTATTTTTACTCAGTTCTCATTGTGATAAATGAACTAAAGCTGCTGAGCAGCCGTCATTTATTAATTCGCAGGCAAGCTTGCTTGGGAGTGCGCTGGTGATGTTCCTTTGACGCAGAACCTCATAAATGAAAACACAAACGGTGACTAAAAGCACACACCCGTGATTCGCTTTCAGGTAATCAAATTAAACAGGTTTAATACAGATTGGTGATACAAGTGTGTAAATAGCAGCGTAAGCATGCCTAAGCCCTTGCTTAAACAGACGTAATTGATGTTTGAAACTGCACCCTGTCAAATACAGTGGATATTGAAAGTCTACACACCCCTGATCAAATAGCAGCTTTTTGGGATGTAAAAAATGAAACCAAGATAACTCATGGCAGGTCTTTTTCCATCTTTAATGTGAAAAACAAATAGAAATGTTTTAGGGGAAAAAGGAAATGAAAAAAACCTACAATAATCTGGCTACATAAGTGTGTACACCTTTTTATAATGTGACTCTGAATTACCCCAAATAAAGTTCAGCTGTTTCTGTAGGATTTTCTTGACATCTTCAAAAAAAAGCATGTACAGGATCTCAGTGTCAAAAGGTATCGATCAGGACAGAGGTACAAAAGAATTTCCAAAACATTAGATATACTATGGAACACCGTGAAGGCCATCATTAACAAGTGGAGAAAATGGGGCACCACAGTGACATTACCAAGAACAGGACATCCCTCCAAAAGGACAAGAAGAAAACTTATCAGGGAGGCTGCCAACAGATCTACAGCAGCATTAAAGGAGCTGCAGGAATATCTGGCAAGCTCTGGTGACTTCTCATAGCCTGGTGAATCTCTCATATTCTTCCCATGTCTGGCCTATGGGGTAGGGTGGCTAGAGAGAAGCCCTTTCTCAAGGAAAGACATCCAAGCCATCTAAATCACGCTAAGCCATGTGGCAAAATGTACTGTGATCTGATGAGGCCAATGTAGAACTTTTTGGCTATAAATCTAAAAGATATGTCTGGCACAAAAACTGGACAGCTCATCACCCAAAGAACCCATGGGGAAGCATGGTGGTGGCAGCATCGTGTTATGGTGCTGCTTCTCTTCAGCTGGGACTGGGGCTCTAGTCAAGATAAAGGGA